GACTTTCCCATAAGTAACTTCTCTCAGTGTCTCTCTGGTGCATGACACATGCTTTGTTGGCTTGTTCCAAGACACGGGGAGAGAAGGACGTGCCAAGGCTGTGTCCCCTGTCTGTGGTCCTGCCTGCTGGAAGCCCTCCTCTGCGACCCTAGCCTCCAATTCTCTGACTTCAATCTGCAACAGCTAATTGCCAGAGCCACCCAATCCAGCAAATCACTAACCACTGCCTCAAACAAATGGGAAAATCGGCTCAAGAGAGTGTATTCAAGACCAATATTTTTACTTTGAACGTTGAGAGGGAACTATAGTATAACTGAAGAATACAAGCAAAGCATATTTCCCAGGATTCTTTCCCAGGAAAGAAACTATTTCCTAAATCTCCCTTTAGTAATATTAAAGGTCTGCAGATTTCAGCATCCTCAAATCTCCATATAATTAGTAAACTCCCAATATATTTTTGCTAAGTTGAAGGAACTCTGAAACTATTTCTGTTACTTTTTCAGCATGACAGAGAGCACAACAAATCATACTGAAAATAACTTGGATTATTTTGTTCCTATAAAATAATGGGTATGTAACACCATTTTATCTAAATGTCATGTACTGGATAACTCTAAAAAGGAAACAGAAATGCTAACCTGTCTGCTCCTTCTTCCTGTAACGTCTGTTTATTTGAAAGGCAAAACGATCCAGAGAAAGAGAGAGATTGATTCATCCAGTGGTTTGTTCCTCAAACACCTGCAAAGCGACAGACTGGGCTAAGATTAAGTTCCCAGACTGGGCTGGGAACTCAATTTGGGTCTCTCATGTGGGTGGTAGTGATTCAATTACTTGAGCCATCATGTGTTGACTCCCATGGTGTACATGAGCAGAAAGCTGAAGCAGAAGTGGGGGTGGGACTCTAACCCAGACACTCCACCATGGGATGCGGGCACCCTAAGTAGCAGCTTCACTCACTGTACCACAACACTCAGCCCTATTCCTTTTTCATCATGTGCTTTTCAGTTTCAAACTAGCCAAGCCGTCAAACACTTCTCTGAGTTTAAGTCACCCCAGAACCATTTGATATAGCCACTATCTAGAAGCTTCAGGAACTAGGTAGGATTATTTGTCAAATTAGATCCCTTTACATTCATTCTGCAGTTTGCAAATGTTATAAATTTGTTATCCAGTGGGATCCTCTGACTGGGACACTGTTAAGAAAAGCCACCTCACACATCTTCAACTTGGAGGAATTCTGCTTAGACACCACACAGTTCTATCAACCACACTACTCTGGTGGATGGAAAAGGAGGCTTCTGCCTGCAAGGGGACAATACGGGTGAAGTCTGCCGAATATGGTGCTCAGAGAGGCTGCTGTATTCAAACCTTGGGCACACTCGAATTTTGCATGATTGTAACTGATGGAACCCAGCTTTCTCCTCTCTGCTGGAGAATGAATTATAAACAGTGAGGAGACTTCAGGTGAGGTCAGATGGACGGAAGATACCAACATCCTTTTGTAGTGTTGGGACAACCAGATACTTTGCTTTATTCTCACTCTGCCAGGACTACTTAGAAGCTTCTTCTGATTCTCTGTATGCAGGGAAGAACGATCAAGATGCAAGGAAAGGTAACAGGAAAACCATCAGGAAAGCCCAAGTTTTGCACACGTACAGGCCAAGGCAGGTTGAAGTTTTTACTCGCTGCCTCCAGGATGTTAAGACATTCTGCTTACTAGAGATTTCATGCTGTTTCAGAGCTGAAGTTGGGCCAAGCTGCTCAAGAGCCAGGGAACCTTAGGAGCCATGGTGAAAATCTCATTCTATGGATGAGGGAAGGAAGGCAAAGAAGTGATGTGATTTGTGACCTGCCAGCTAGAGGACCCAGGTCCCTGGGACTCTACACCAAACCACGAAACTGGCCAATGTCAAAGCCGAGAAATCGGCAAAAAAAAAAAAAAATAAATAAAATAAAATAAAAGATTTCAACCCAAACCTTGAGGCAAAAGTACCTTCAGCATCTGCTAGTTGCTACTTCATAAACTGTGACGGGCCTTCTTAGTTCTGTCCTCCAAACTTTACGGAAACACTGCCCTGTTTCATGAAAAATTTTCTTCTAGTCCGCACTGACTTGAAATGCGGTTGGTGCCTTAACTGGATTGCCCGTTGCCTGCAACCATCTGTATTTCTGCCCCTGTGCATCTATGTAATGGGGATGATGCTCAGTTCAGTGCTTCCAGCTCTGGCCTGGCTCTTGTTTCAGGCTGTTAACAGCCTAACAAGACAGGTTCCTGAGCGTCTATTTCCAGATCCTGCGAGGATTATTACTTTGGTCCCGTGGGTCCCGTTCCAGATGTACCTGTCTCTCCTTAGCATTACAGCAGCGATGCTCTGACAGCTTTCCTGTTTTCAGTGATCCAACAAATCCACATGAGGTTTGAAAGGCAAATGTGTATTCCAAAAGGAAAGCTCCAATTATACCCTCCCAATCAAAACTTTCCAGTATTTTCCCATTAATTGCAAAAATAAAAACCAAACATCTTTATCTGGGCTTTCAAGGGATTCTAGAGCTGGGCCTAATTCAAATTTTTTTATTGAGTGCCACTTGGATGCCATATCCTGTGCTAGGTCTTAGAGCCAAGGCAGCTTAACAGGACACAGTCCCTGCCCACAATGAACGCCCTACTTTGGGAACGTAGAGAAGGGCATGATACAGAATAGAAAAGAATCTCATAGAACACTGCGTGTGTGTGGCCATGACAGAGTAGAACATGCTCTGGGACTAAAGCAGCTAACCTTGACGGAGGGTAAACAGGTGAGCGATGAAAGCAACGGTGGCAGGGAAGACAGACCAGGAACTTTTCCAGGAGAAAGTTGAAATATGAGGGTAGGGCCTGAGGAGGGGTGGGAGATACAGTGAGTGGCTTTGGTCCTCAAGTCCTCCTTTACCTACTCTTTAAATCCTCCCCGACATCCCTCTCATTCATCCTCCCATCTCTTCCAAGCCCAGCTCCATGACTTGACCCTTGAACCCTGTTGGATAATACAGCTTTAGAAATACCTTCTCTTTGTCCTGAACTCTGGCCTGCAGTGGCTTGGTACACACTTCTATAACTACCAATTCCCATGTGTCCATGGCCTGGGTGCCTGGACCAGCGCATCTGTCTGAGCCTGCTCTCCCACCTCCTGGTTCTTCTGCTCATTATGGGGGCTCCCCTGTCATCTGAATATAGTAGGCTAATGCTGTGCCAATGCCCTCCCAGAAGTAAGCCTATTTAACTCGATTCACCCTTCATGTTCCTGACAAATTCCATGCCTGCTCCCATGAGGCCCACCTTCCTCAACTCTCCCTCGTGCAGCTTTCTTTGTGGGCCAGTGCAATGCTGCTCTGTAATCGGAGAGCAGGTTTCTTGAAAACAAGGCCCTTTTCCTTTCGAGTCTACCCAAGCCGAGATTTGACAAAGCGGCAAGTTGATAGCTCTGAGTCACCTGGTTTCACAAGTCATGTGGAGAGGCCACAGAGGAGGAAACAAACAGCAAATAGAAAGGAGTACCTGAGATATGACGGCGGGGAAATTTACCAACTCTTAGGAGGAAAGCTTGCCCAGGGCCTGAGTCAAATCAGGTCCAAACACAGCCTGCCTGTTCCTCTGCTTGACATGGACAGTTTCACTGGAACATGTGTAGTTGGTTTGTTTTTTTTCCCCTCCCAGATCTGTAACTTTCTCTTTTTGAAAAGAATATCACCAAGTTTCCACTGAAACAGAAAAGGGAAGTATTCTGCACTGAACCCAAAGGAAACATTTACAGTTTTATTTATTTAGAGGGTTGTCATAGAAGACTGCAGAAAGAACCAGCGACTGGAGGGCCCCCATCGGTTAGGGTTTGTTTTGTGCCTCTTATAAAGGGGTAAAAATCACCTGCTTTCAGAGATAGGAACTTTTACATTTCAGTAACATGTGTGCTGGGGGTGTGGGGGAACTTCCCTTTTAGCATTTCTTCATCTCAACCGTTGGCTGCTGCAATTGGGAGCAGCAGGAGGGAGGCGCAGCTCTGATGCCTTATCTCATCCTGCCAATGGCCATTGCCTCAGGCTGGTAGGTTGATTAACTCCTGGTGGGCCTCCAGGAGGAGGCAAGTCTCGTACCTGGGGAACACTTCTGGCCTTAGCCAAGAAGGAAAGGGACTCTTGCAGGTGAGCCCAAAGAGACTCCACAGGACAAGCGCCTTCCGGCACGCCCTTAACTATGGCCTCAAGATGCACAAATCTAAGACCCAGATTTGCCCAAGTTCTGTGTTGTCCCAGACAGCCATCTTTTAAACATCCTCAAGGCTGGAGAAATGACCCAGGATATCAGAAGGCAGCAAAAACACCGTTGCAGGCAGAAATGCTTGCTTCTGAACTAAATCCCCTAATGCAGTTGCCCTGATTTTGATAAATCTTTCCAAGTAAGGTGAGCCTAAGGAAGGTTTCATTTGTATTTCCGGGGACTTCTCCAAGTTCCCAGATGCACTGCTTCCCAAAGTCAGTTTTCCCCAGAGAAATCACCTGGAGACTCTGGGTCTAGGACTCCGGGGGCCTTGGCTCCTCGGAGCTCCTCGTGTCCCGTCTGTATCTCTATGGTTCTGTTCGGCTTTGCTTTCTCCCCAAGCAACGCTCATCCCCCTGCCTCCTGGGTTTCTGGGTTTATTGAAGCATCCATGACCCACACTCACTCCCACACCTTTCACTGAAAAATCTGCAGTCAGGGGCAAGGTAGTGGAAGGGTTCCAAATGCCATTTTCTTCCTCATTTGGTGGCACAACTGGATCCCTTAAGTCCTAGGTCAGAAGTCCTCTCCTCATCTTAAGTTTCCCAACCTTGACTCTGAAAATTCTTCTTTTCTCCTCAAACTGGGCTACATCAGCGAGATACATCTCTTGCTAAGCCACCTTTGCGCTTGAGCTGATGGTTTGGGCAGCGTGTCAATCACAGAACAGAGTTCGCCAGCTGAGTGCATGTCAGGGTCCAATGCCTACCTGAATGAGGAGACCGGTAGCGGAAGTCCTCTTTGGTCAGCAACAGCAGAGCTTTGCCATTCATTTCAAACGTGTTGCTGTCAATTGGTCTTAAGGAAAACTCATTTTCAGCCCATTTGAGCCACTGGGCTACGTCGTCCCTGCTCCAGTACACCGGCTGCAAGCCTGTGGGAGGGAGAGAGAAAGCCTTGTCAGACAGCTGGCACAAAGGGGAACATTTCTGAATGGTTAACAACATTAAGTCCCCGGGTTCCAGAGCTGTTCCATTCAAGTCTCCAAGTCCCAAGTCAAAGCTGCACCTTTGTGGAGAGTGAAAGTGTGCCACCACATTCACTTTCTGCCCACAGGCAAAATAAGTGTTTAAGGGATGGAGGGTCTCCGAAGACTTGCTGAGGGGAGGGGCTCGGGCACCTCGGAATTTGTGCCACGTTTCCATGGGTTCTGGAAGGATCTCAGAGCTGATCTGATTGCAGCCCAGCGTCCTTCGGAAATGAGAATATTCCAGAGTCAGCCTTGACCTCCCAGGGCTGCCAAATAATGAAATGGTCCCTGCAACTTCTTCCAGGAAGAGCAATGCACTTTGTCTCTGGGAAAGCAGCAGGCTGGCCCTGGGAACGAGAGGGCGAGGGAAGGATACAGGGCCTTTCGCCTTTTCATTTTGCTTGCTGATGGCAGAACTTCCCAACCTGCCTGAGACTTGGCCGCCTGGGGAAGTCTGGGTCAGACACGGATAGGTGGATCTCCAGGAACCTGATGGTGACTTCATATTTTTATATCGCTTTGCTGCTGTGGGCAATCTTTGATATATGACTCAAGTGGTTAGAATAGTGATTCTCAATATGATTCTGGGACCCATGGAGGGTTCCCAAGACTTTTGTAGGGTGTGTATGAAGTAAAAACTCTTTTCATGATACTAAGATATTATTTGCATTTTTCAGTCTCATTCTTACTTGGGTATACAGTGGAATTTTCTAGAGGCTACGTGACATAATATTGCAATAGATTACATCGATAGATAAGAGAATCTAGTCATCTCCCATTAAACAGACATTAAAGAGACTTTTAAAAATGTTGAACAATATTACTCTTCCTATTTAGGGCTGAGAAAAAATTTCAGGTCTCTATATTAACAATATACTTGGTTGGTGACAATCCTCAGATTTAATTTATAACATGATAAATGTGTGCTGACATAACGCACATGAGCAAAAAGTCTATGAGTCTTAAACTATCTCTAGGGACTGAAACAAGTTCTGAGATGAAAAGTTTAAGAACTGCAGGGTCAGAAAAAGCTAGAAGCTCAACAGAGCTTCACTCTGTCAAATCACCATGGGGTCAATCAGCCGCTCACACAGACTGCAAAGGAATCACTATTTGCTCCGAGCAGCTTGCTAGGACGACTCCATAAGTGTTGCAAATTGTTCTTTCCTTCAATCGTGGGAAGAATCACCTTTTACCTTGAAACCAGGCATGACAAAGACCTATCTGGTTTATTGGGTGGGCTGCCTTTCTTCTTTGCTGCAGTGGGGAGTCAGTGCCTTGGATCTCCTGGAGAATATCTGTGGGCAGAGTGGCTGGGTCCGCCTTCCAAGGGCCTCCTTCGTAAAGCACAGTTTTAAAGAATGGTAGTTGGCTTCCCTGAGCCCTGTGGAAGTCTCCTCAGGGCTAGCCCACCTTGCAGCACACTAACAAAGGACTACTGGGCACTGGAATAACTACAGAGGGACATCTGAGAATTTTTCCTCGGGTTTTAATCATTTATTTTGCACAAGGAAGAAGTTGCATTCTAGGCTAATAGTTAGTTTTATATGCCTGCCCTATGGTCTTTGGAATACAATGCAGGCTTTAGAGTCTTGTTTTGGATTCTTGATGGGGACAGAAATTCACACTGATTCCACCAGGTCTAGGCAGGCAGGAGGGATCCCAGCCGTCCCCAATGATCTTGCTAATGCACATTCCAGTAAGGTGGCAGTGATGAGGAGGGTGGCTGAACTTCCTGCCTCCGAGGGTGCCTCCCTGACATTAGGAAGAACAGGGGATTCATCATCAGGGAGGCTGGTGAGGACTCAGTCCCTGGGGGTAAACGCAAGATTCCAGCGAGGAGTGGCCAGGAAAGCACCGGGTGGGCTGAAGGTCAAGGGGCAGGAGGCGCTCAGCGGGGAAACAAAGTATAGGGGGGCTTCAGGGAGGTGAAGACACCAAACAAATACAGAACCGAATCCTGCCAGGCAGGGGAACTGAGAGTAAAATGCTGAAGTTTGCGCAGAGGACACGCTGAAACGGAGGGAGGCGGCTGAGCAGGGGGCGGGGGACGCAGTAGTAATTTAAGTCTCTTTATATTCTATGGAAGAAAATACTCATGAGTAATCTTTTCCCTAAATACAAGAGTCACAGACTCCAAACAGCTCTGCCGGTTAAGGAGGACAGTTTCTCTTTTCACTTCCCATTAATCTCTCCCACAGCCCAACCCCCAAAGCAACCCGGACCACAGCTCGGAAACCCCCTGGCCAGGGACCCTGGCCAATGCTCAGGCTCCCGTACCAAAGAACCCAGCAAGCCACAGGGAATACCCAGGCAGCCCCAGCCCCGTGAACAAAGTGATCCCGATGGAGCACGCCACCTGCCCTAGGTCTCTAAATAAACTGATCAGTCACCTCTCCTCCATTAGCATAAAGAGAGAGAGGGGACAGTTCAGTGAGCCAGAGAGAAGCTTGATAGTCCTAGGTGTTCAACATCAAGTTGCCTGGCTATTTCCCATTTAATTCAATGGAATAAAGGTCATGCTGTAGGATGTGCTTTGCAATTCCAATGGAGGCAAGGGAAGCCCCTTACCCTGCCATGTAAGGGCGCTAAGGCCTTGTGGGTTACAGCATCTCAAGAGCGAGCCTTGTACCCTGGTCTAATCAGGACAGTTTCATTGATTCAATAATCACTTTTAAAGTACTTCTATGTATGTGGGACTGTTCCAAGCACTTCATGCATGCCAGTGTGCTCAGCTGCAGGCTCACACACCTGCCTAGGAAATGGAAGTTCAGATTAGGAAAGTGAGGCCCAGCTCGTACAAGGGATTCGCGTGGGGTTGCGTGGCCCTGGTAACAAGAGCACATGCAAACCCAGGCGCTCCGCCTGCAGAGCCTGGGTGCTGATCCCTGACACTCTGCTTACTCACACATCTCCCATCTAGGTTCAGAACTAACACTGCTTTTCAACACCTATTAGAGCTTCAAAAACGGCTGGGTGAGCTCACTCCTCCCCAACCACGACTTAGATCCTTGCAAGTTTTTTTTTTTTCCAAGTTATCCACAGACTAAAAATATACCCCCCCCCCAAAGTCTGTAGATCCCAGAAGAAATAGATTTATAAATGGGAAGAGGAGGGAGGAGTAGGTGGCACTCTGCTTTTAGCGCATCCGGGAATAAAGCATGAGTGCATGGACTATGTGTTCATTAGCTCACTGGTACTTGAACTTGACACTCTGCAGGGTTCACAGCTGCTAATGGGCCAGCAGGTGCATGGACAAGATGAGAAAGGAACACATAAATTCGTTTGTAGCTAACTCTTGCAATCATAATCAGCATAGTTGATGAATATAGATATTAAATGATTATTAGGTCTAAGAATCAGGGGAGACGGGGAGAGAAAGCAAATTTTGCATCTCTTGGCAGTACATGGCAAATGGAAATCAAAGATGTTGATTTTGCTACAGAAAAGATGCGAAATCCATGCCTATTTGTTTAATGAATTTCTGTGAACTTTTTGACAACCAGAGCTCATGGCAGCCATTGAATAAGATAAGCATTTCTAATGCCAGTGAGTTTCAGAGAACATCAAAGACTTGCACAGAGGCCACGATGATTGCTGTGACGATTCTCACTAAGAATTCCACTGCACTTTCCCCCCAAACTCGTCAAGGACATGGTGTCATGCCCTCCAGCGACATGCTCTGGTCTTGACATTTTCTGCTAATCTTTCTCCAATTTCATGTGTAGAGGGGCCATGTTCATCCTCATTTCAGACTCCCCGAGAAATGCGTAAGCTGACAACGGAAGTCCGGAGGCTGGATTTCATTCCTAGACCTGCCACTAATTACCGCGTGACTCAGGGTGGGCCGCTGAGCTCAATGACTCCATCCAAAAAGCGAGGATGCAGAGTATGTGACATCCATCCCCTTCAGGACTGTACAGTCAACAGGCTGCCATTTGAATTGAATCCTAAAAGCCTAAGAATACGAACAGCCAGGACCTTTTGCTATAGAATTACTCCATCCTTAAGGCCATGATCCTGGGATTTTGTAACTTCCTAAAGCAGGGGTGGTGGAAGCTTGGCCCTGCCAAGGGCCATTGGAGTATTTATAACATCATTCGTGGGTTATACAGAATTAACAACTGAAAAATTAGCCTGCTATCGATTTATTGAATTTCGAGTCTCACCTGTGGTTGTTTTGGCAAGGCCAGACCAAAGGAGTTCACAGACCTTATAAGGCCCATGGACTAGCTGTCCTCCACCCCCGTCCTAAGGGATCTTCTGATTCAAGGGTGATGGATAAATGCTTGAGCACGTTTCATTATATTCCAACTCTTGGGTAAGGATATGGCAACAATAAACATAACAGTTCACACATGTACAGTACTTTGGAGCTGATAAAGTACTTTCCTGTGTACTATATCTCAGGTAATTCTCACAAAGCCTCATAAAGTTGGTTGTATTTCGTTCAGTGTATTGGATAAGGAACCACAGGGTGCAGTCATTCAATGATTTTCTTGGTTTGAATAGGAAGTACTGCTGAAGTGTTCTTTCACTGAAATGAGCTCCAGCTCTGTGTAGACATGGATTTGCTCCAGATTTATGCTATGTAAAAGATGTGGGACACTCTACAGGTAGCCTAGTCCAACCCTGCCCCATTCTATCCGAAATGTAAGCGACCGCACCATAAGCTCAGACGCTCCCCAATATGTCTTACTGTCCCTGCCTTGATTCGATGACACCGTTTCACGAGCGTTGGCCTAGAGGGGAGTTATGACTTCCTTGCTTGGTCACCTTGCCTCAGATTACATGTCCTAAATTGGTCCCAGCATAATCCCCTCATTGTCCTTTGTAGGCCCCCACCAACCCGCTGCCTCCTCCGGAGATCCTGTTTGACACTCACTCCCAAGCACAGCCCCAGG